TTAGCCATGCTAACAAAGAGAAGAAGAGAGAGAACTCAAATTACTAACATACAGGATGAAAAAGGCAACATCACAACAGATACTACAGAAATACAGAAGATAATTAGGAATTATTTTGAAAACTTATATTCCAATAAAATAGAAGATAGTGAAGACATTGATAAATTTCTTAAGTCATATGATTTGCCCAGACTGAGTCAGGAGGATACACACAATTTGAACAGACCAATATCAATAGATGAAGTAGAAGAAGCAATCAAAAGACTACCAACCAAGAAAAGCCCAGGACCAGATGGGTATACAGCGGAGTTTTACAAAACCTTTAAAGAAGAATTAATACCAATACTTTTCAAGTTATTTCAGGAAATAGAAAAAGAGGGAGCTCTTCCAAATTCATTCTATGAGGCCAACATCACCCTGATTCCGAAACCAGACAAAGACACCTCAAAGAAAGAAAACTACAGACCAATATCTCTAATGAACGTAGATGCAAAAATCCTCAATAAAATTCTGGCGAATCGGATACAAAAACACATCATAAAATTGTGCACCATGATCAAGTAGGATTCATCCCTGGGATGCAAGGATGGTTCAATATATGGAAATCAATAAATGTTATTCACCACATCAATAGACTTAAAGATAAGAACCATATGATCATCTCGATAGACGCAGAAAAAGCATTCGACAAAGTACAGCATCCCTTTATGTTCAAAACATTAGAAAAACTAGGGATAACAGGAACTTACCTCAACATTGTAAAAGCTATCTATGCTAAGCCTCAGGCTAGCATCATTCTGAATGGAGAAAAATTGAAGGCATTCCCTCTAAAATCTGGAACAAGACAGGGATGCCCTCTATCACCACTTCTATTCAATATAGTTCTCGAAACACTGGCCAGAGCAATTAGACAGACGAAAGAAATTAAAGGCACAAAAATAGGAAAAGAAGAACTTAAATTATCACTATTTGTGGATGACATGATTCTATACCTAGAAGACCCAAAAGGGTCTACAAAAAAACTACTAGAACTAATAAATGAATTCAGCAAAGTGGCAGGATATAAAATCAACACGCATAAATCAAAGGTATTTCTGTATATCAGCAACAAAACTTCTGAAACAGAAATGAGGAAAAACATTCCATTCACAATATCCTCAAAAAGAATAAAATACTTGGGAATCAACCTACCAAAAGAGGTGAAAGATTTATACAATGAAAACTACAGAACCCTAAAGAGAGAAGTAGAAGAAGATCTTAGAAGATGGAAAAATATACCCTGTTCATGGATAGGCAGAACTAACATCATCAAAATGGCAATATTACCAAAAGTTCTCTATAGGTTTAATGCAATGCCAATCAAAATCCCAACGGCATTTCTTGTAGAAATAGAGAAAGCAATCATGAAATTCATTTGGAAAAATAAAAGACCCAGAATAGCAAAAGCAATTCTAAGCAGGAAGTGTGAATCAGGCGGTATAGCGAAACTGGATTTCAAACTATATTACAGAGCAATAGTAACAAAAACAGCATGGTACTGGTACCAAAACAGGCGGGTGGACCAATGGTACAGAATAGAGGACACAGAGACTAATCCACAAAGTTACAACTATCTTATATTTGATAAAGGGGCTAAAAGCCTGCAATGGAGGAAGGATAGCATCTTCAACAAATGGTGTTGGGAAAACTGGAAATCCATATGCAACAAAATGAAACTGAATCCCCTCCTCTTGCCATGCACAAAAGTTAACTCAAAATGGATCAAGGAGCTTGATATCAAATCAGAGACTCTGCATCTGATAGAAGAAAAAGTTGGCTCCGATCTACATATTGTGGGGTCGGGCTCCAAATTCCTTAATAGGACACCCATAGCACAAGAGTTAATAACAAGAATCAACAAATGGGACTTACTTAAACTAAAAAGTTTTTTCTCAGCAAAAGAAACAATAAGAGAGGTAAATAGGGAGCCTACACCCTGGGAACAAATTTTTACTCCTCACACTTCAGATAGAGCTCTAATATCCAGAGTATACAAAGAACTCAAAAAATTAGACAATAAGTTAACAAATAACCCAATCAACAAATGGGCTAAGGACCTGAACAGACACTTCTCAGAGGAGGACATACAATCAATCAACAAGTACATGAAAAAATGCTCACCATCTCTAGCAGTCAGAGAAATGCAAATCAAAACCACCCTAAGATACCATCTCACTCCAGTAAGATTGGCAGCCATTCTGAAGTCAAACAACAATAAGTGCTGGCGAGGATGTGGGGAAAAGGGTACTCTTGTACATTGCTGGTGGGACTGCAAATTGGTGTGGCCAATTTGGAAAGCAGTATGGAGATTCCTGGGAAAGCTGGGAATGGAACCACCATTTGACCCAGCTATTGCCCTTCTCGGACTATTCCCTGAAGACCTTAAAAGAGCGTACTACAGGGATACTGCCACATCGATGTTCATAGCAGCACAATTCACAATAGCTAGACTGTGGAACCAACCCAGATGCCCTTCAATAGATGAATGGATAAAAAAAATGTGGCATTTATACACCATGGAGTATTAAGTAGCACTAAAAAATGACAAAATCATGGAATTTGCAGGGAAATGGATGGCACTAGAGCAGGTTATGCTAAGTGAAGCTAGCCAATCCCTAAAAAACAAATGCCAAATATCTTCTTTGATATAATGAAAGCAACTAAGAACAGAGCAGGGAGGAAGAGCAGGAGGAAAAGATTAACATTAAACAGAGACATGAGGTGGGAGGGAAAGGGAGAGAAAAGGGATATTGCACGGAAATGGAAGGAGACCCTCATTGTTATACAAAATTACATATAAGAGGTTGTGAGGGGAATGGGAAAATAAACAAGGAGAGAAATGAATTACAGTAGATGGGGTAGAGAGAGAAGATGGGAGGGGAGGGGAGGGGGGATAGTTGAGGATAGGAAAGGTAGCAGAATACAACAGTCACTAATATGGCATTATGTAAAAAGGTGGATGTGTAACCGATGTGATTCTGCAATCTGTATTTGGGGTAAAAATGGGAGTTCATAACCCACTTGAATCTAATGTATGAAATATGATATGTCAAGAGCTTTGTAATGTTTTGAACAACCAATAAAAAAAAAAAGAAATAACAAGTTCAATTCCCTTTGACTCCAACCTCCCTTCCACACACTCTTGCCTGTCCTGTTCAATCTCCAAGCTCTCTTTGGGAGCCATTTCTTGAATAGGTGTGAACAGATTTCTATACTAACTATGGCAGGGACCTTGTGTTGTGGTCCCTCTAACATTGCCACACTATCACCAAACACTAATGGCCTCCAACAGGAAACAAGCAGAGGAAACAAACAGTTCCACCTCTCTCTCTGTACCTCAGAGGGCTATTTGGGAATAAAATTAAATAATTTCAAAAGCTTCTTGAAATAAAACTTTTTCATAATAGTCAGATATTAGTGTGATATCATTTATGTAGCATATAAGCCATATTGAGCAACCTAACAATCATAAAAGATTTTTATAATCTTAATGATTTTTTTAAAAAAATTAGATTCTGAAGAATTCAAATAGATGAAACTAGGAAGCAGAAATTTGGGACTGTGACTAGGTTTAGTTTATCATTCATTCATTTGACTACATTTATTGTCCAAAATTTATTTATTTTTGAATAACCACTATACATATGATGGTTAAAGGAAAAAAAAACAGGTATGATAGGTTTATAAGTACCTGTATTACATTTATAAAAGTGGGAGAGAATAAAAAATAAAGCAAATTGATGAATAATTACACCTTGTAGTGAGTTCAGTGAAGGGTACACTGAGGAGAAAGGGCTACTATGATAGCCTGATCAGAGATGGCCTATCAGAAATGAAGACAAGCTAGGCCCAGAAGAAAAGGGTGACTGCAAAGCCTCACTCCATGAGGAAGTTTGGCATGTCTGAGGACCCATAGGACAACTTTGCTTTAGACCCTGTGGAAGGAGAGAGTCCTGAAATAGGTTGGTTAAATATTAACAGGCCTGCTAAAAATGATTTCAATGTAAATGCAAGGAAAGCTTTGAAGGGTTTTAAGCAGGGGTGTGAATAGATCAGCTCTGTTACTTAAAGGCAAGAAAGATCAATTAAGCAGCCATTATAAGGGGTCATGTATAAAGGCTGGTTGTTTTGACTATGGTGGTGGCCGTAGAGGAGAGAAGTGGAACTTCGAGATGTATTTAGGAGGTAGAATGACATGTATTTGGTGGCAGATTGGAAATTCGGGGTGTGGGAGTAATCAATGAGACCAGAATGTGCCACCAAAAATGAAGGATTTTCGAGGTGCAAACAATTAAGAAGAAGCCCAGGCAGGAAAGTGCTGTCTTCCCTTTATTTGGTTTAAGCAGGACATAGATTTACAAAGACAAAAGGTATCCTGTCTTGGTGTTCTACCAGAGGGAACATAGGTCACCATTGAAAACAACTTTAGATTTGGCCTGGATATGGGAGCAGAGGAATCTACATTAATAAGCTTTACTAACTGGCCTTTATCTGCCATTGATTTGTTGCCATGTTGCCACCAAAGAACTCAAGGTCTTTTCCCTTTTTCTTGTCATTTTTCTCTTAAAAATGTACAGTTTGTTGTTGAAGATGCCATAGAAACGAGAATTCAAAGATACTTCTTTGAGAGTTACTCATTCCCAGATTCTCCCTTGTATACATGTTAATGGATTTCTATTTGTTTTTCTCTTACCAATCTCTCTTACTACAAGAGTTTATTCCAACTAAGAACTTTTAAAAATCAATTTATTTATTTGTTCTAATACATGACAGCAAAATGCATTTTGATTCATAGTACACAAATGGAGCACAGTTTTTCATTTCTCTTTACACAAAGTAGAGTCACACCATTCATGTCTTCATACATGTACTTAGGGTAATGATGTCCATGTCACCCCACCTTCTTTCCTACTCCCACAGCTCGTCTCTTTCCCTCCCTCCCCTTCGCCCTATCCAAAGTTAAAAATATGGAACACTTCTCGAATTTGCATGTCATCCTTGCACAGGAGCCATGTTAATATTCTCCGTATTGTTCCAAGCACACAACTAATAACTTTTAATGATTGAATAATTTTTTTTCTTCCCCTAAAATCCCTTGTGTGTGGCTTGAATAAGTAGACAGGTAGTGACTTTGTGCCTGGCCCTGTTTGAGGTCCAAGTTGACTTACCAGAGTCCTGGTCACCATCCTCTGCCTTGGGCTGTACAATTGGATGTACTACTTTAAGTTCACCAGCTGGTACTGATGATGGATTGAAGTGAATTCTAACCATATCCTTCCAGGTGTGTTTGTTGGCTATCCAAATTGTCTTTTTTTTCAATGTTGAATAGAAGATACGGTCAGCAAAAAGAGATATTGCAAACAAATTGTGCCTAAAAAACAACCGGGGGGTGGGGGGGAGGTGTAATCATAAAAAATGGCAGAATAGTGGTTTGGATTATTAAAATTTCACCTCATTTCCTTTTTTTGTCAGAATTTTAATCACCTGCAGTTTCTTATTTCTTATTTAGATTTAGAAAAGTATATTGCATTTAAATTTTTTTATTTAGTCATCATAATCTGAACTAATAGGAAATAATTTCTTTCTCCAGATCTGGATCTGTGATGAAAATGGGGAAGGAAACAAGAACAGGATGCGAGTGGATTTCGGTTTAGTCATCTTTCTATTTGGCTAATTTCTGCCTCTTTCATTTACTGGAGAGTCTTTCTGGCACCATAGCAAGTCAAATAAAAGATGATGCTTCACAAAATGTATGATATAATAATTCCAAAAAGAGTAACTACGAGCAACATGTGGGAACTTATTATATGCCAGATACTCTGTTATTTTTTAATCTGTATTTATTTGTTTAATTTTCACAATGTTCCCATATCACAGAAAACTGCAGATAAGAAAAGTTATGTAACTTACCCACCCCAAGTCATTCATCTAATAATTGATAAATCTGTTTCAGACTCCAAAAATTCACGTGCTAAAACTACCACATCTATTTAGCTGACAAATGATAAATTATTTTTTTTCACACAAACTTCAGCTAACAATAGTTTTATTTTAAACCATAAGAAAAACCTACCGGGTTGGAGGTTTGATCAGATGGACAGACCTTCCATCATAATCACAGGAATAAATATGAGAATTGCTTCCTTCTCTATTGTCCTGAATCCAAAAGAGGCGTTTATCAAGCACATCCAGTGACATAGCCGTTATTCTCTCTGGTGTCTCTAATAGAGTCTTCACTTTCACCCCACTGAGATCTGCTCTGTGAAGACTGCTGGCCACTTCTGAAGACCAAAATATAAACCTGAGGGCAAACACATTACATAGACCCATAATTGAATGAATAGTCACTAAAATGGCAGATTCTTTCAGTGTTTCAGCAGCCCCTCATTCCTACACAGGACAATTTTGATTATTTTGAATGAAAATTCAATTCAATAAGTACATGTTAACTATTAAGGAAATTATATGTGATTGATTCAAGTTAGAAGAGTTATGCTTCTCTAGCAGAAAATCATGGTAGTCAACAGTGTTTATAAAAGGAGCCTGCCAAGTTCAAATGCAGGCAGGCCACTGTCCTATTGAAAATGGTGTTAGTGTACTATTAAAGAGGACCTTGGTCTCATGAAGGCCCCTTTGACTTCAAGATGTTATGATTCTAGAAATTTTTATTAGATTTGAAATGTATTTCAGTGTCTGAAAACAGCAAAATTTACCTTTCTACTGGATCAACTGCTATATTTGCAGGATATTTTAAGGTGCTTAAAAGAATTTGGGAATTGTTTCCTTTCAAATCTGTTACTGTAATGATTCCTTCCTGTCGATTTGACCAAATAATTTCTTCATTTATCCAATTTATTGCCATTCCAGAAACATTTTTCTCTATATTGCACACTTTCTGTAAAATCAAATTTCAAAACTGTTATCAATATTTCCCCATTCACAGAAAAATTGATTTTATTGCTATGTATAAAAGTCTACTCTTTTAAGTACCTTTCATTCCCCTAAGTTATTTAAATAATAAAATAGTCACATATAAGGTGACTATTTTATTATTATAATAAAGGTGGCTTTGTTTTGATGTAGCAATATTACCCACCTCCATGTAGATATCTCTAGGCAAAGTATTTATATCATAGCTTTGAAACTGAGAATTATCCTATGCACTATTGAAATTAGCAATCAACCATAATGTAATAATTTCAACTATTTTAACAGTAGGATTTTGATGCAGAGTTTATTCAGTTTTACTTGTTAATGAAATGTTCGGATCCTTACCTAAACTTAATTCTAAGCTTTTCCAAACTCTGGCAAGTTTCCCTTGGAGTTTGAGCATAGAACTATGAAAAGGAAGAAGTTCTTGTTAAGGCTTCCATTTTCTTCTGGCCCCTCCTTCTCCATTGGTCCCTTCCTTTTTACCTGCGTGTCTTACACCTTGACCCATTAACAGTACTTCTTCTTATATGCCTTGAGCTGTCCCTGCTCTTACATGATCCAAACAACCAAACTGAAACCTCTCTTATCTCCTGATTCCAGACTTAGGCAGGTCAACAACAGGGCAACTGGTATTCTTGGCGCTGGAGGTGCAAGGTGGTTAGAAGCCCTGATCTGTACCATTGCAGGTTCTCATGGTATAATACCCCCCAGTCGCTCAGTTCCAGCTACCTATCATGTGATGTTATTAAACAGAGTTGGGCAGAGGTGGTCTGGCCTCAGAGTCTGAGCTATTCTCCTCTCAAAGCAATCCAACCAACCCATTTTAACGATTACAAATGTATTCATATACTAGGTGTTCCAGGTAAGTTGTTTGCATATTGACAGTTGTCCTTTGTAAAACAATGTTTTAACCCCAAAAAGGGACTACAGAAGTAGAATTTTAGGGATCAAGTCAATCCTTTTCTGATGACTTGACATAAATTCACAACTGTTTACACCTTCTCTTGTTCTGTGACAGAAAGCCCTCCAGATTCTTAGACTCAAGATTTTGAAACTATTCTACCAGATTGGTTGGAGAATAATGAGTAGCCATAATTGTTAAAAGTGAGATTAGCAAGTATTAGAGATGTGATAAAAACAGATTAATGCCTAATTGAAGCTTTTAGGAATAATTGGAGAGAGAAAGGTTTGGTTAAAAAAGAAAAAGACAGAGAGTACTTTGTACTGGGAATAAATGCTTAAAGTCTTAGTAATCATGTGCCTTTTGCACTCCATCTGCAAAGTATTGTGAGAACTCTCCTCCTGGGACTCATTTACCAGTTTAAAAGAAAGATTAAGGATCTTTTGTATGTACTTCAGGTAAAATACTTTAATCTATTATTTAATTCACTTGCTTTTTCTAGAATGCACACAGCTTGAAAATAGAGAAGAAGAAAAATTGTCCTTCTAAATTTCAGGTGATTTTCCCCTCCGAAATGACAGAGATTTTGTACAGATACAATAGGGTTGATCAACCTCAGCACTATGGACATTTAGGGCTGGATAAGTCTTATTTATTATAGGGACTCCCCTAAGTTCAATAGCATCCCTGGCTTTGCCCACCAGATGCCAGTATCCCTTCCCCTTTCTCTCTCACCCAGAGTGCCATCCCCCAAAATGTTTCCAGACATTGCTAAATATCCCCTGAGAGGCAGAATCCTCCACCCAGCTGAGCACTAGTGAAGTAGAAAATAATCATGTAAATAATCAATTCTAATTATAACTGACCTATAAAGTTAGATATTTTCAAAATTAAATTCATGTCCTCGCATTCTCCTTAGGGAGCTTCTGTGAGTTTATTCATATATAGTACCACAGATGCAGATTAAGTGCCTACATTTGACAGACACACATTTGAACCATAATGTACTTTTGTTTATACATGAAGAATTTAGCATATCATATTTGCCTGTATCTCAATCCCTTTGAATAAGTAGCATGGGCAATGATACTTGACCTTTTGTTGTTGTTGTTGTTCTGGGGATTGAACTCAGGGACATTCAACAACTGAGCCACATCCCCAGCCCTATTTCGTATTTTATTTAGAGACAGGGTCTCATCGAGTTGCTTAGTACCTCCCCATTGCTGAGGCTGGTTTTGAACTCATGACCCTCCTGTCTCAGCCTCCAAGCTGCTGGGATTACAGGCGTGCATCACCACACTTGGTAGTACTTTACCTCTTGTCTTGACCCATTCAGGAAAACTCTTTGCAAAAGTTGTCTTTCTAAATCCACCCAATAGATTCTTTCCTGCTTGTAATGAAAATCCATGATCACCGAAATACCAGCATCTACCACCAGTCGCTCATGGTTTGTGCCTTCTGGGTCAATTCTAAAGATACTGTTTCCATGGGAGAAAATTAAGTAGGGTGTAGGACCTGAGTGGGAAGAAAGAAACCAAACTGTACATTTTCAATGGTATTTAATCTGACCTAGGCAAATTACTTCCCCATGACAACCAACACAAGCAGAATTATTATTTAATTCCTGATTTTATATTTTAAATAAATAAAAACTATTACATGGAGAATAATGAGTCCCTGTAGATGTTCACAATTAATTTTGTATGTCATCTTCCTTATAAATAAATTATAAAAATGAGCATTGCCAAATTATGCAATATGAACTATTTAAAGAAAAAGGTATTTCTTGTTCTTATTTGTAAAATGCCCTTTTATGTTAAAAAGGGAACCACATACTGTATATCATGTTGTAGAAAGGATCTATGTGAATGTTGATTTTAATTGTGTCCTTTGGAAGTAAAATTTCAAATATTTTGGAAATAGGCCCCTTTCCTGTGGCCTAATCTGAGAACTTTGAGTCATTAAAAAAAAAAAAAGAAAGTTTTAAATGGGAGCAGGAAAAATTGAAAAGTCATCATTTTTCAAGTTCAGAAATATTTTCACTGATTGGCATTGTCATATAAAATACAGGATGCTCAGTTGAATTATAATTGCTTATATAGGCTGAGGATCCCTAATCTGAAATCTACAATCCAAAATGCTCCAAAATACAAAACTTTTTAAGTGCCCACATGATACCAAGTGGACAATTTCATGCCTGACCTCATGTGATGGATAGAGGCCAAAAAGC